GTGCGCGCAATTTTAAAGCTTGACATGTTTGGTGTCTATTTACCCGACGTGACCCGATCTTTTATATTTTACCAAAAAACTGGTTAATAATAAATGTTTCCTAACATAATGTAAAAAAAACTTTTTTTTTTTCAAAATTTTCTGTAATTTTTCCTAATTATAATAAAAAATAAAAACCCCAGTGGTGATTAAATACCACCAAAATAAAGCCCTATCTGTCCCCAAAAAATGGTATAAAATTCATTTCAGTACAGCGTTGCATGACGGAATAAACGTCAGTCAAAGTATCGCAGCGCTGAACACTGAAAAATGGCCTGGCCAGGAAGGGGGTCTAAACACCTGGTCTTGAAGTGGTTAAATGCCCTTTACGGGAGTTTTTTTTCTTTTGGCTGTTTTGCAAGCAGTGTTTGAGCATCTCTGGCAAAGCTCTCCTGTCAGTAGGAGCCACCAGAGAAAGCCCCATTAGTGAAAGGCTTGGTTCTTTGAGGCATGATGCCACAAAACATGAGAGTTTGCACTAAACGATATCAATACAGACTTTCAGACTTCATGTTTTGGGGGCGCACGGGAACAGGGGAGCACAGGGAAGGTGTTAAAAACACATTCCAAGCGTCCCATTCTTGCATTCATATGTTAACCTATAGGCAGAATAAATTCTTTATTTACAGCATGGTAACAATTTTATCATTCTGCTAACCTGTAAAAAGACCACTTCAGCAAAAACTGCCTGGCAGCCTTTGGAAAACTGGGACTCCCTTCATGAGGCTTCAGCACTTGGGTGACTACATTATCCAACCAATTTGCCCACTGGTCCAATGAGCTCTGCTGCTGAAGGGTTAACTTGAAGTCTTGTTCTAGCTTCTGAACCATGCCTTCCTCACACTGGCATACCCAGGATGCTTGTTCCTGTTAGCAGCAAAAGACAGAAAAACTCATTTTTATTATCCAATTAGCAAAACTGTACTTTTAGGAAAAGGGGGGAAATTAAAAAAAAAAAAAAAAAAAAAAGGAAAGATTGCAGGGAGGGGTGTTTGGTGGGTAGGGGTGTTTGGTGGGTATGAGTGCAGACACAAGAGCAGGTAGTATGTGCAGGAGAAGGCGTGTTTAATGGCAGTCAGTCTGTACAGCAGAGGACTACAGACAGTAGGACATATGAAGGGTATAACACAGTTTTCATTATTTGCTGAAAAGCAGTGAGCTGGCAGTATTTGCAGGAGAGGAGTGCAGATGGCCCGACAGTGGGCCGTATGTGCAGAAGGAGTACAAATGGGTCAGGATAGGTAATATTTCTTATTATTTGCTACATTTTATTTGAAATGCTCTTTTCACTGTGGTTGCAGGTTCTCTTTACAGAGATATTAGAATGGCATTAAACCCCCATCTGTGTTGATCAGTTACAGATTAGGGACAGAGTCCTGGCTCTTGGAACAATTAAGATGAAGTACTTCGCTCTTAGCTCCTGCAGGTTCTGGTTCGGCAGTGATAGGAAACACAATGAAGGGAATTTATTAAAACTGAAGCAGACAATCTGGAGCAGCTGGTAATGGCAACCAATCAGCTACGCTCATTCGTTTTCAAATCTTAACTGAACAAACTGGAGAAGCTGATTGGTTACCATGCACAGCTGCTCCAGATTTTGTCTGCTCCAGTTTTGATAAATTACCCTCAATATATGAGACTGTATTTCCAGAGTAGGCAATGTTTCTGGCCAGTTTCCTTTGATAACTTGATTCAGAATATTAAAACACATTTGTTTTCATGCAGTCTTGGCAACAGTGCTTTTCACAAGCACAAAATCTATCTGTAACTGTATTTAATAATTTGCTTATAAATAGGTTCTCCTCGAAAGACTTATCCTTCCTCCATTTGATGCAGTAACACTCTACAGTTTTCAGTGCCTTCATTTCTGCAAAATGGTCAATGGGTGCTTCAAAGCTTTAGCCCTTATCAGAGATTACCAGAGCCAGGAATACGCTCTGGACGAGAAGGTGCAATAGGTACTTCCAAAACTAAATCTGTATCTAGGGCAGTACCTCCCCAAACAAGCAGTCTGCCTATGGAATCTGACATCAAACAACCCGAGTTCAACTGGAAGGTGAATGTAATGTAGTGATGTAAGTCATTGAACCATTGCTTTCTCAAGTAAACTCTTTACTAGAGACCCTCCACCCAAATGGGATCAAAGGAGCACGAAAAATGTAAAGACAAAAGGCTTATATGAAATAAAGGATCTGCATCAATCACCTGAACGTTTGCAAAATCTACTCTGTTAAGGTCACTCAGCATCTGATTAATTTGGGATGTATTTTGCAAAACAGCGCGGGCAGCTTGTGCCAAATGATTCAAGGAGGTGTAACGACGCAGAGTCTGAGCAAAGGCACTGACAACACCAACCTGGGGAAAAAAAATAAAACAAAATTATACATATGTAAACGGAAAGAATAAGTAAATAAATGCGCTACTGCTCCTGTAGCAGATAATGTTAGGAAAATTCTTTTGATATACCTTTGCCTGGACTATTTGCTGGAGAAAATCAGTCATTGCATTTGTTAGCCATCCTTCCAGACTCTTTGCAAAATTCCGTATCGCCTGTGTCAGTGTACCTAATGGTGGGGGGGGGGGGGGGTTAAAAACATTTAATCAAGGAAAAAGACATTAAAATGTTATATTGATTCTGAATCTACGATGTGCTCAGCTACCACATTCTCCCAAAAGTTCATCAGTTCGGTATCTGCACTGGAGTTCCAGCTTCATCCACCAGCCATAGACACGAAGAGGCTGCTCCCTCACCACCGACATCCACTTTGTAGGCAATATCATGGACAGGGAGGAAGCAAAATCCTACTACAGAGATTTGGTACCTCAAGATTTGTTGGGCAATTTAAACCAGTGTCATCTGCCCAACACTGAAATTTTACTTTGAAGACTTAACATGTTTGATACTATAACACAGGAAAGTAAGCCAATTAATTTTCTGAATGGGATTCACTGAATTTTTTTTGCTATACCTGCACAGCGATTTGCATTGCACCTATGGAGGAATGTCCAAATTTTGCTGGTGGCCAGAGTGTATTTCAATACACACTTAAAACGTTATATCTATTCAATATTAAACCAATATTAGCAGAATTTTAAATCCTAAAAATGCATTCTAGTGCCTTATTATAAAAAATATAGCTCATTTGTGCATCACTCAGCTGTAGATCCTTAAATCATCTCTTGATTCATGCTGACACTGTCCTTCCTTCTGGAGGGGGGCTTCTTTTGTTCCCCATGGTCCGTGTGTGTTGTAAAGTAGTCACCGCTCTAAGCTCGCTTCTGTAATGGACTTCAATGCCAATACAAGTTAGTAAACTAAAAGTGAGATTGTAGTCCATCACATTAGCAAGCTTAGAGCAGTGGTTAGGAATTCAGAGATGATTTGAGGCTCTGCAGCTGAGTGATACACAAATAAGATACATTTTTGTTAATAGTTAAAACGGTACTTGAATGTATTTTTAAGATTTAAGATTTAACTCCTGAGTTTGTCACTTTAAAATCTAGTAAAATATCTTATCCTACTATAATAAAATCCAACACGAATGTTTACAAGGGTAGATTTGTAAAGCAGCTCATGATTTTAGGAAAACAAAATTACGTTCACCAGACCCCACTCACTAAAAAATGCTTGACCAAAATACAATAGTAAAAAGCCACAATGCCCACTTTATCGTATGTATTTGAAGTAACCACAGCCCTTTTTAACCAAGCCATACAGAAATGGTATTACTGTAGTAAAATGTAATAGTTTATCAACTGTATTACATTGGACATTTTTAAAGTTAAAAAAAAAGAAGAAGTTTAATCCACAATAAAGGCGAATTTAGTTTGATACGAAATATAGCTCCTCTATCAGTTTCATCTCTGCTAACAGCAGATCTACCGGAGAAAGCTAGTAGCACATTCAAATCTGAACTGTGGGAAAGAGATGACACACATTTTAGCGTGCGGGCTAGTGATCTGAGTAACGTCCAGCAGGGAGCAGTGTGATGCACTGTTTTTGGCATAGCACAACGTTTCCCTTTAACTTTATTTGACGTGTACATTCCATTCAAGGTCTCCTCACAGCAATGTGGCATGCTCAGATGCAGTAACATGCATATCCAGTGTTCTACATAGAAATGCAGTATGCCTGCATTTTCAGCACTGCATATCCATGTTGTGTTTTGAATGGGGCACATAGAAAACATTTGTTTCGTAGGTGTACTAGAAGCAAAATTGATTGATCAGTTGCTGCAAACTGTCAGCCACCGATAATGCTGTGAACAAGCCTTGAGAAACTCATTACAATAGTGGATTACAGGATTACAAGACAAAACAAAAAACACAATCCTTGCCCGTTGAAGCGCCATGTTACGTCCAGATTAAGACAGTTTAGATATACAATAATTTCTCTTTTTTTAATTAATATTTATTATATACCATCTACATGGCATTTTACATACGATCCATGCCCTCCATGAACTTACAATCTAAGGTCCCCAGCTCATATTAACACAAATACTAGGGCCAATTTAGACAGAAGTCAATTAACATCTTTGAAGTGTGAAACCCACACAAGCAAAAGAGCATACAAACTCCAAGACAGTGTCCTGGCAGGGAATCAAACCCAAGGACCTTAGTGCTAAAAATGCAGAAGTACTAATCACCGAGTCTAAACAGATACGCGTGAAGCTATAAACGCAAAGCGATGGCGTTATGTACTTTTTGGTGGTAGATACACATAATTGGCTCTATAATTTTAAGGAATTGGTCAGTTCTTCTGTATCAAAAAGGCAGGTATTCTAGAACAAGTATGCAGGCTGTGAATCCGACAACTGCTGGCATCAAAAGGCATCCGATAGAGATTTATAGTCTCCATTTAATGCTGGATTAATCTTCATAATCTCAGCATTGTTTTTGAATAGGAATATGCAGTTATTGTTGGATTTATTCATTTCGTAATTTACCCACAATCAGACTCAACCTTTTTTCTACTTTTCCTTTTCTCTCATTTTTATTACAATGACACCACTGCTGGTCAATGCTCAATTGCTCAGAAAGGAGTGTTTGTGACAAATCAAAAACTCAACCAAGTGCTTGATACAATGTAAATAATGTGCAGCTTTGCCTAGTACTCACTTGGGACAGGCCGCAAGACATCTGGGATTAGAATTTCCACTAGAGCTTGATAAAGGATATGGTCGCAGCTCCTCATCCACCTCATAACAGGCTCATATTTACACAGAATCATCAGTTTCTCCTTTGGGATGACTGCTTCTTGCTCCTCCTCACTGTGATACATGACAAGACATTAGTTGCAACTTTTATTATAACCTATTAGGGCTTTAATAACCAGCAGCAAGATCAGGATCACAATGCATCTCATTAAGCTGTATAAACCTATTCAAATGAAATAACTTTTGGTTTAATGGTAGCCCCGTAGACCCTACTATTGGACTTAAAGCTGAAGGTGCAGGATGCATTTGTGTCAAGCAATAAAAAAAAGCGGACTAACCTTTTACAATGAGTTAAAAAGGAGAACTATGAGGTGAGTGGTTGTCCTCCCGTTACCCTAAGGAGAACTATGGGGAAAAACACTGACCCCATAGTTCTCCTTTAAATCGTTTTTTGATGCTGCGTCCCCATTGGAGAGATTTCCCCCTCCCTTCTAGCCCCAGTGGTGCCAGAAAAAAATGGCAAGATGGGAAAGTAAATCTCCACATCTAAAACAAAAAACAACCCCCCCCCCCCCCAAAAAAAAAAAAAAAAGGGGGGGCCCTTT